AAATGTAAATGATGGGTGTGTTTGTCTCATGGTTCAGACCCATTATCCCAGGCCTTTTCTCTTAAAAGAGGCTCTTTTTGAACCACCTTCCTACATCATCCACAGGCCTTTGCATTTCTTCTGACACAAAACAGATGTGTTCACTGACTTTCTCACTAGAGCTGTAACATTTGTCCTTCCCTACTTTTTCTAACACTTCTTCTGAACTGAAAGATGAACCAAGAGCCTGGCTCACGTTGCCTTAAACCAAAATGTATTTTCAATATTTTTAATGTACTGTTGTTTTTAATCCTCTGTGATTTGCTCAGAGTCATTGGTGAGTGGGTGGCCTTAGAAACTGAAATTATAAATAAAAATATACACTTTGCAAACCATGGCTTATGGATTTGCAAGTGAGCAAGTCCTATCACTTTTATTCCCTCAGTAAACTATGGTTAAATGAACGATGGCTTATGTGTTGTGAAGACTGAATCTAAATAGCCACAAAAATGTTATAAGCCACTTTCCCCCCATCCTAAATGTAATTAGAAAAGTGTTGTTGAAGCTGTTTAAGATTAACAGTATTATCAGCACTTTTGACTGAGTTGTAGAGAGATCATGTCAGTAAAACTAATTACTCTGTAAAGTACATATGACATTAATACAATACCCAGAGAATTTGTTGTAATAATGGGAATGTTATTCACACAAAGTCAAGCAATTGTCCCCCCACCGTCCACTGTTTTGAAGTCTTCTGGTATTGTTTTGTTGTTGCTTTTGTCAAGAGATTGCTGTGTTTTGGAATTGTTGATTTAAGCTATTGTTTTTGCATTTGGATGGATAGGCTTTGGTTAAAACAATCACAAATTCTATCAACAACTGTGGAAAAATAGATTACAAGTATCTTAAAAACAGCTTCTCTAATAGAGCTGTTGAAATATTTAATTGGATTATGAAAGTCCATCATCAAAGCTGGCGAGGGAGGGAGAGAAGCAAATAGCAATTGTTTGATGTAGTGCGTCTTTGTAAATGACATAAGGCTTGTAAAACTTTACAGTTTTGCCATAAATGCTTCTTCGAGATTCCAGTTCTTCACGTACTGGATCTTATGCAGCCAAACAGGGACAGGATTGGATCCCATGGATCAGGGACAAAGCAGAACATCCCAGATTTTAACCTCAAGGTCTCCAATTATTAAAGTATCAGGTTACACAAAACAAGATCTTTCTCTTGACAACACCAAGTTCGACAGAGGAATGTTCGATACAATATTGATACGAAGTTTCATCTTCTGAGCTTGAATAGATGAAGAACTGTATGCAGGTTGTGCTTGAGATGCATTCCAGTCACCTTGATTCATCTCTGAACATCATGGAGCATTCTGTTCAAGAGACCTCTTTGAACTTGAGAGCCAAGCAAATTTAACACTGGCCCACCAGTAAAAGTTCTAACACAGAAATTTTTCTGAGTGCTACAATGAGAAACTAGAACAAACCAGGTGAGAAAGAGGGACAGAGGTGGAGTGTATGACACTCCAATGACAGGACACCCAAATGACAGGAAAGATTTTGTTGAATTAAGTTTCTAACATATGATCCCTTGCATAAAAAACCTTTTTATTGCAAGCAGTTAGATGGAGCAAACACGCTACTAACTGAATGTCTGAACCACCACATCCCTTTTGTTAGCCTTGGATGGCCACAGCAGCACTGCTGTTCTTGGAAGGATTAACCAAAATGTAAGAGGGTGCCCTCAACAACAGCTAGAAACATCATCCATTTTCCAGGGAATAAGGAGAAGTAAAAACAAAATAAAACAAAATCAGAAATAAGCTTACTCCAAGCATGCATCGTTTGTGGCATTTTTGAACTGTAGGCTTACTTAAGTGCTTAACAACCCTCCTTCCACATCATGTTTTCAGTGAGGGAGCAGAACTGAATTTAGCAAAGGCTGCAGTAGAGAAGTGGAGGGCTGTATGAAGCTACAAAGAGTCACCCCATGCAGACTCAGTCTGAATGTCCCCTTGGATTCTTGACTTGATGAGAAGAGAAAGCAAGCATATCCATTCAAAACACAGAATGGATGCAGAATAAGCAGAGGCATTTCTCCTAGAAACTAAGCATCCTGTGGGCTATCTGCTGCTAGCAGAAAGTTAAGACACAGTTCAGTGCAATCTAGAACTAAGTGAATACTGAATGACCTGGCTCTATACAATAGTTGGGTTTAGATATTAAAAGTAAAACCATATTTCTCCAGGTGGCCCCACTTTTGTAGCACAGCTTCAATTCTTCCCACCTTTCCACCCCAGTTCTAATTCAATAATTGTGTATTATTTGGGCAGAAGATACAGTGGGGCAAAAAAGTATTTAGTCAGCCACCAATTGTGCAAGTTCTCCCACTTAAAAAGATGAGAGAGGCACTACGCCGCCAGGGACTCAAATACTACGCCGCCAGGGACTCAAATACTACGCCGCCAGGGACTCAAATGCCTGTAATTTCCATCATAATGGGGGAAAAAATCCAGAAAATCACATTGTCTGATTTTTAAAGAATTTATTTGCAAATCATGGTGGAAAATAAGTATTTGGTCACCTACAAACAAGCAAGATGTCTGGCTCTCACAGACCTGTAACTACTTCTTTAAGAGGCTGCCTGTAATTTCCATCATAATGGGGGAAAAAATCCAGAAAATCACATTGTCTGATTTTTAAAGAATTTATTTGCAAATCATGGTGGAAAATAAGTATTTGGTCACCTACAAACAAGCAAGATGTCTGGCTCTCACAGACCTGTAACTACTTCTTTAAGAGGCTGCCTGTAATTTCCATCATAATGGGGGAAAAAATCCAGAAAATCACATTGTCTGATTTTTAAAGAATTTATTTGCAAATCATGGTGGAAAATAAGTATTTGGTCACCTACAAACAAGCAAGATGTCTGGCTCTCACAGACCTGTAACTACTTCTTTAAGAGGCTGCCTGTAATTTCCATCATAATGGGGGAAAAAATCCAGAAAATCACATTGTCTGATTTTTAAAGAATTTATTTGCAAATCATGGTGGAAAATAAGTATTTGGTCACCTACAAACAAGCAAGATGTCTGGCTCTCACAGACCTGTAACTACTTCTTTAAGAGGCTCTATGATGGAAATTACAGGCCTCTCTCAGCTTTTTAAGTGGGAGAACTTGCACAATTGGTGGCTGACTAAATACTTTTTTGCCCCACTGTATTCTGTGGGACAATAATGATAAATACGTTGTACTATCTGCTTCCCAGAATACTTGTAGGACTAAAATCAAGTTGGTATTGTTACTGAGTTTTTTGGCATGTTCTTTTCCATTCCTGTTTTGTCAAAATGTGCTGCAACAACCCTATATGGGGACAAGCTATTTTTGGAAAAGGTTTATAATTTACTTTCTGTTAACAGCCATTATATAGACTCACCAAAATGATCATCTAACTCCTGGGTTTTTTCTGAGCTGGAAACTTAACCAAACCACTGGACTGCTTTATCTAGTGAACTGAGCCCAGGCTCTTTTACTTCTAGAAAATAGAGGGTGCATTTCTCCTACAGAGAACCACCCCCCTTTTGAATTATCTTACTTGAGGTTTGTTAAGAAAACCACCCTCAAACACACTGGAACGAGAAGCGCTTCATTTGTACAGAAACTCAAACTCAGAAATGCCCACAAATGTATTTCTAAGACCCAGTGCCTTTTTCAACAATGAATGTGTGGGTGGACAGGGGACAAAATACAAGTCGGTAGCAGGTCTAGGGAAGTTCTTCAGAACAATGTGCTCCTAGGAACCACCCACAGCACTTTAGACAAACCTCAGAGCCCTTGCCTGGTTGATTTTAGGTGCTTTAGAAATAATAAATTATGTAAAACAGAGAAGCACTTACTGGCAGTTGAGTCCTCAACTCTTTAGCTCTTTTCCTTTATGGAAAAAGATTAGACATTAGAATAATAAAATACTGTTACTATACTTTATTAGAGGCTGAATGCTTAAAGGAAGCTGGTCTAACACAACATGCTGTTCGGGACACAGGCACTCATCTGTGCATCCAGAAAACATAAAAGGGCTATGGCATACAATAGATGGCATACGTAACACCCACCCCTTAGCAGAGAATGGCTATAATGTTAGGCGCTTGTCTCTTGCAGGAGAAAAAATATTTAAAAATCCAGAGTGCAAGATTGCCCGGGCCTATTTTCTACAGCCAACATACTGCCGTCCTTTCCTCAGAAACTGGATTGTGCAGGAACGGCTCCTACTGAACAAACTGCATGATCTGTTTCCAGTGGCAGCTGATGCCACCATCTTCTGAAGCAAGTGCAGGCCCACATCAAAGGAGCCCTCGCTTTGCGTGTATGGGACTGGAATTCCAGCCCTGCCCATCACATCACAGCTGAACGTTTGCCTGCTTCAGTCGCTGCTTTTGTGGCACTGCAGCTGCTGCCCCGGGGGCATGTAATATGCCAGAAAGCATGTAACAGAATGGCTGCTCTATGCCAAGCTAATGGTTCTTGGGTACTATCTTGCCACAATGGCCACAGCACTCTCTCTGTTCTGAATGGATTGAACTCTTGTCTAGGGCATTTCCCAAAACTCACGTTGTGGACAGCCTTCTGTGATTGAGAACAGTTAATTATATTTCTCAAAAAAGGGATGAGGTGCTTCCCCAACTATGAAAATTGGAGTAATCCAAGGACCAGTATTCTCTCCACTTCAACTATAGGGTGATTCAACTTTTGCACATCCCTGTAAGCCATAAGAGTTGGTTCAACAGCTCATTGTCTCTGCCCTCCAGCAGGTATGGCCAACAAGCCGACCCTGGTTTCATCTGCCTGGAAGAATTCAGGAACAATACGGTCAACAAACTAAAAATAAACCATGGCTATGTTCTCCCATTTCTTTCTAGAATCCTGCAGTGGCATGTCATGCTAAGTTTTGCTAATCAAACCACGGATGGCTCATTAGGCAACCTACTCACAGAGAGACTAGTGAATGCATTTGCCTCTAAGCCAGTCTTACATTTTAATAGGATATTTTGTGCAGCCCAACATTTCACTCAGTCATAGTCTAAAATGATGCAGGTAACAACCAACATGTTTCCAAGTCAAACAAAGTTCTCTAGAGCCATATTCTTCGACATTATATGCTGTTTTCTGTTTCTTACATGACTTCTTCATTCTATTTTCTCTCCTACTGATCAGTCATGAACAAGTCAGTTGCAGTAGTAAGGAACCAGCTTATGTCCTATATTGGAAGTAATTCTTCAATTTGCTTTCAGCTTGCTGGAAGATGAAAAGATCACCTCTGAATAAGCAGGTCTTTTTGTCAATTCTGTGCCCAGCTGTCACAGGGTGGAACACCTTCTGGAAGGATACCTCCTCAGTGAAATTAGACTCTACAGTGATTTGACGGCCTTGTTGTCAAAATTATAATTCCCTCAGGGCAAGCAGTGTGTGTTCTATCACAGACCCCTTCTTCGGTATAAGAGATCAGTTAGTTTCTGAGTACCCTGTTTATAGATACCTAAAATGTGTTTTTTAATATCTTGACAGGGTTGGACCTTTTGTTATAAATGGACACATGGAAATGTGCCATCTCTTCATTTCCCTTTTTGCGTATAGCTATTTCTTATTACTTACCCCATTTATACCAAGAGAGTTCTTATATAGTGCCACAAGTGTGGGGAGGATCTAGCTTGCCCAGCTAGAGTACAACAGTCCTTCTCAGGAGCAGTTGCCTTTGCCTCCTCAAAGCTGCTAGCCTGGATTCAAAGAAAATTAAAATTGGATGCCTTTAAGAAGCCAACTAGATCACCAGAAAAATGTGAGATTGCATTTCACAACTTTTCCTTGTTTCTCTCTCTCTCTCTCTCTCTCTCTCTATATATATATATATAATAAAAAGAGCTAGAGAAGGTAATCACAACGGCCACATGCATACGCACATATGGAAATTGCTTTGCCCTAGGAAGAAAATTACTATTGGCCTTAATCACAATTTTCTTTCTGGGGCAAATAGCAGCTGGGGGAGGGGAGGCTAATTTTGTTATGCACAAAAAGGGTTCTTAAAATCTCTGCCGGAGGGTCCTGATTACCCCCATCTCCTGTTGATAAAAATCCCAGAAATGCATAAAATACAATTATACACTTCATATAATCATAGGTGGGGAAATGAGGAAAATGGGGGCATGAGCTCAGAAAGCTTCCTGGCAAGAGCATTTGGGTAAAACCAAAATAACAGAGAGAGAGAGAGAAAGAGAGAGAGAGAGAGAGAGAGAGAGAGAGAGAGAGAGAAAACCCTGCAGTTTTCTGAGCATTAAATCACTGAATCACAAAAACAAAAGGAAACGAACAAGCAAAACCACAGCATGAGGAACTCTGGTGCTGGGTTCTCTTATGGCTGGGCTTCGCGGACCATCACAGAAACGCTGGAGCGAGTGTCACCTTCTGCGCTGGCTCCTTTTCAGGGACTTGCCTGAGCCTTCAAAGTTCGCCTCCCACTCCTTGGGACTCAAGGACCAAACCCAACAATTTAGATCGTGCTCAAATGACGCTGATTGCAGATTGTCAGGGCTTAGAGAGGGCTGTCGCTGCCCAATGCCATGAGGAGTTCGGTTTCCCTAAAGCTGGTACAGGGAGACACACACGCAGAAGGTGGTTTCAAGGAAGCTAGAGAGAAGCTGTCACCATTTCATCCAGCTGCATCTATTTCTGAAAAGGGGAGGAGGAATACCTTCAACCAACCTCCCCCCCCCCCCCCCCCCAGCAACAAATGAATCCATTAAGGAGAAGAGGAAATGCTACCAGCAGCTGCTGGTTGCCGTGGTGACACAGTACGTAATGCTGCTTTTGCTAGGCTTCCCCCACATAAATATCAAAAGCACCAACCTGGCGCTGGAGGAAAGGACTTACACCCACATTCACACTTCAGTTCTCTCTGCCCCCTCCCCAAAACCAAGCCCACACATGCCAACCATTTTAACAGTCTGTCATTTTATAAACAAGCCCAAAGAACAAGCAGGGACAAAAGGAACCCTTTGATGTCACCGGATGGAAGAGTCTGGCAGTAGCATCAGGTTCATCCAAGGACAAAGGCGATGTTCCCCTCCTCACTTTCTGCCATCAAAAATGCACAGCCCCCGGAGAGATGTTGAACATGGAGGGGTCAAACTTCTGCCCTCGGAATGGAGAGCCTTCGGCATCCCAGCCCTTCTTCAGCATCTCATGGACTTTCTGAAAGCAGGGCAGAGGCGTGAGGGGGCTGGGCGAGATACAAAAGCTTACTAGATGAATTACTCTCGTGAGGGCGGCCCACTGTTTAAACGATTGGTCGGTCATTTTCAGCACATCACAGCCAGATATTTAAAATATTCAAGGAAACTAAGAATGGCTCAGGCTGCATTCAGCCCATAGTTTATTCTGATGGGTAAGAGCCATGAATATCACTACCAAACTCATTCATTCAGCCTTCTATCTGGTGAGATGCTCAAGAGCTTTCAATGGTTTAGTGCAACTTTCCCTACCTGGAACCCTCCAGACACTGGAGGCTGCATTTCCCAGAATTTTCAGCTAGAATGGGACAATACTTTGAAGATGGTTTTGATCATGATGGTTGGGAATTTTGGAAGCTGCAGCTCCAATAAGTTTAGAAAGTGCAGGTTGGTATAGACAATTTATTCCTCCCCCTTCAATTCTAAACTGTGATTATTCTTAATAGTTGATGGCAACAGTTTCATAAATCATGGCCGGAAGTTCAATAGTACAGATTGGCCAATACAGCAAGCCACAGTTAATGGAAACAAAAACATCTGGGTATGAATTTGCAGCTACACCAGGAAGAGCAGAGCATAAAGGAGACAAGGAAAAGACAAAGTTTATTCCCATCCCAATAAATCATGGTTTAGGATGAAGTTCCAACAGAACATGATGTTACTTTGGGCATATAATATGAATGAGATCTTGGTTTACAGTATCATCAATGTTTTATGCGAGAAATCATACATATATGTCTAAAGAGATCCTGTATCTATACAGACCTTGATTACAGGAAGCAAAAGCAATCAGTCTTTGCTCTGTATGCAGCCTCTTTCTAAGTTCACACTGTCCTTATTTCTTGCCAGCCTGCATTTGTGGAACAGTTGTTTAAGTTCACCAGATTTGCGAACTTATTTCAACTTCAATGCCATCTTTAAACCATGATTTATTCAACTGTTTCAATAAAGTATTAAGAGTAATCACTGTTTAGATTAAAACGTAGAGGTGGTTGTATCTCTTCATTTGAAGCGGGTATTTAATGCTAAGTATAATATGGTTGTGTTGTGTAGGAAATGTAATGCTTCTGATTTGTTTTGTATTTTTTTATCTGTATGTTATGTTCAGGAGTGTTTCTAAATTTACAGGTTGTTGTTTTTTAAACACTGGTTTCCATTTTTTAATTAATCAAGATGAAAAGATTTTTAGTTCATACAGAAGGTCTTATTGTATTTACAAAAGTAAATACATTCTGAATTCAGCTGGTTTGCAGGGTGGAGGCTAGATACATCCTGGCATCTTCTACATAGTTCACACAAAGAGCTGCAGACTGAATTTACCCTCTAATAGCTCTTTGAGAAAGAACACCACCAAGCATCCCTTTTATTTAGCAGTTCAGCTAAAAAAACCTAGAATGTTAATACCCAATATTAAGCATGTTTAAAAAAAAGAAAAGAACCATCACCAAGAACAGCAAGGAACAGTCAGCAAACCATAATTATTTTACCACTTTAACAAAGGACAGTGGAGTTTTATAAAACATACCATCTCATGGCTCTGGGGCTTGCCTTGAAGCTTCTGATGATAATCAAAAGACAGTCTGTCCAGCACTGCATGCTCTTCTTCATCCACTGTGGCCATAGAACGCTCCTTATTGATTTTATCAATGTCAATCTGTTCTTCGCCTTCCAAAATGGCACTCCACCAGTATTCACCTACTTTGCTCAGGTTAATCTAAGACAAGACAGAAGCAACATTAGCTGGGACTGAAGTAGCTAGTGACAATCAAAGAGGAGGAGGTCCTTGGAGCTGCACCTATTACAGCCTAGGATTGTGAAACAGCTTTCCTCAACCTGGTGCCCTCCAGAAGTCTTGTTTTGCAGTACACTTCCTACAATCCTTTGCCACTAGCCATACCAGAGTCACTTGTATGTCATCTAGAGCCACTTGTATAGTGAGATGGGCAGCATATATAAATGTGAAAAATAAATAAATAAATAATGAATTTCACAGTTAGGGAAAGTTATTTAGGTTATTCCCTAAAAAGAATAGGTTCAATGAATTGCCAAGCTCTTATGCCCCATCACAATTGATATGCAGCCTTTTATAGAATACTTCCAAAAGAATGCAGTCCTCAGTATAAGAAAGGGTTCCTCAAAGGGATCTATAATTGAAATGCCTTTCCTATTAAGAAATCTAAGAATTTTTGAAGCACCTTTTTTCAAATGGGGCAGGGGAGATACCAAAATCAAAGAAATGTTTACAAAATAATAAAGAGTGGGAAAATAATGTCCTTATATTACTCAGATTCACATGGATGAGGACAGGTAATGCAAAAGAAAGAAGTTAGTCCCTTAACATGTATTGGATTTCTGCTACAGGGTAGCGTTCAAAAAAGGTTTAGTAAAATTAATGGATGTGTGATGTAAGACTAATTTTTAACAAAACAAAACTTTAGTATCCAGAGGACATATTTCCCAGGTGCTGAGGTAAAACATAAAATAGAACTATTGCCTTCTTTCCCCCCATCCTTGTGACTTCATATTACTTTATAACTTATATCAATCCCAGCCAGCATGACCAAATGCTGCTGTAGAAGAAAAGTTGGGGGAGGGCTGAATTAGGTGGTTCTTTTATACAGACACACATTGATTGGAAAATTAAGATAAACCTTACTCATGAAGTGAATCAGTTTGCATATACCAAGAAAGGAGCTTCACATATCCATAAGATAGAAAGAAAGTTTGGTTAAACTTGCATAGGTTTCATTAAAGCAAACAAGAGTAAGAGGGAATGATGCTTGAAGGAGGCTACAAATTTAGTTGCCACTCCTCATGTATATATATGATATATAGATATGGGTATCTATAGACAAAAGATCCTGTTCTGTGACAGTTATTTAAGAAACAGTAATCTGGCAAGAAAGAGAGAGCTGCTCTTGGGAGGCTGTTGGGAGAAACCAAGAAGTCACAAATACCATATGCTGCAAGAAGGAGAAATTATTATGAGTACATTATTTAATTAACAATAGAAAAGATGATAACTTTTGTGAATGGCCAAATTGAAACTGAAGGTTTCAGAGAGCTTAGAAGAAGCTTAGAGAAGCTTTCCATGCTTCTATGGAACCTAAAGAAAAAAATGTAAGGGGAGATTCAAGTTGAAGGAGCACTGTTTCTCCTGAGAACTAGAGTTATGGTTTGTTTCTCAAAGCATTATCAATCATCTCCAGAATGTTCCTGGTGTAATCCCACAAATTTACACTTTTCTTTAAAAGTATTCAGACTTGAAGAACTCTATAAAACTGCCATTATTACCATTTTTTCCCGCATAAATGAAGGTGAGACAATTGTGCACAGCTTGATCCATCCCAAAACACAAACATCAAATAAGTACCTTCATCTTAAGAAGGCGGCTAAAGCATTGAAGACTTTTCAGTTATCAAAAAGAGAAGGGGAACACACCAAAAGTTCAGAAAGTCATGCATGATGTGAACTCAGCCACTGTGGTTAGTAAACCACAATTTATAGCTTAGTATATCATGTGAACTCAGCCACTGGTGGCTTATTTAACACACTATAGGTAAACAAATAGTAGCCTAATACAATATTTTAACCAAACAAGAGTGGAAGCATCTAACCCTTGCATTCCATGTCAGAGAAGAAGGAAAGCTCACTGGGTTTAACATTATATATAAATACATTAATGCTAAAAGTGAGGTTGAAGATTCTCAAATATATCTATTGTATAAGACAGAAGCAAAGGGAAATAGGCACTTTCCAGAAATTAATCAAAATTTCTGTAGCACCTACAACAAAGAAAAAACAGGACTTATCATTTATACCACTAGAAATTCAGAAATCAGTTGCACTTCAGGTCACAACTCTGTTTCACTGTTTTTCCTGCTCTCTGGAATGTTAGCTCTGCATTCACTCATTGTTTTAATCATTATGTTTACACCTTGCCTCTTCTCTATAGCTCTTAAGCTGGCTGTTCCCTTCCCCAGTTTTTCTTAAAAGTCCAGTGAAGTAAGTTAAGAAAAGTATGGCTGGCCCCAAGTACATAGAAAGTTTTACAGCTGAATTGAGATTAAAAGCAGGTCTCCAAAATTCTACTCCAATATTCATATCTCTGTACCACATGAGCTCTCCTTTAGCAGCAATCCCTAGTGCTTTCACCTTCCTCTCCTTGTAGACAACAGCTCCTCCTGACCTTAAAAGCATGTATTATTCACACTCCATACCAGTCATAGTCTTGACTTTCCTACTCATTTCCTTGTATCTTCTCTTTCAATCCACATTTTCCTTAGGTGTTATTTGTCATTTCTTATTTATTTCTTATTTCACTTATTTCATCCTTAGAATCTCTCTTTCATCTATCTTATTTTTGCGCTATGATTTATTTTTACCTCCAAGGATTCTTCTCCTCTCTCCCACAAAATGACTCTGATCCCTAATGCCTGTTAGAAGTAATAATCCCAGCAAAACTAACCATCTTCCTTCCCCTTGAAAACACAGTTTCAAACTTTATGGCCCATTTGTTCCTCAAGCACTTGCTATGTCCATGAAAATGACATGCCAATTCTCCAGCATGTGAATTCATAGTAGATTTGAACTGAGACTTGTAAACTAGTTCATAGTTTAGCCACAATATAGCCGCCTCTGCAAAATTTTGAAAGTACCAGATTATCTGTGGTAAAGACTTTAAGAGGCAGCAGATGAAAACAACATGAATTCACATTCAGTTCACCTGCAGAGCTGAACTGAATGCAGATCTTCGTGAAGATGAAAGGGAGATATCTACACAGGAGAAACAGGAGTCTATTGAACATCAGAAAAGTTGTGGAGCAAGAAGAAGAAAGAGCAAAAATGGATATAGATAAGGGACAAAAGGAGATGCTAAATAACCTGGTAGAGAGACCACATATAGAACATATAAATAACTGCAATGATGTGTTGTACTGAATTTGGTACAGCAATTTTTTTCAAAATTCAGACTCCACATAAGCAAAAAAGTGCTAGCTGACTCATCAAATGTGAGTTGTTCTCACAGTACCTTTCACCTAAGTATTCACCTGATTTATACACTATCAGGCTGCATGTCTGCAAGTCAGTTCTGCACCTAGAATGAAAACAATTTACCTTAACAGAGGTTTGAGCCTATTTTTCCTTTACCCTCAAAAAACTTACAATAGTTTCAGAATTATTAAAACACACAATAACTGAGCCACTAATAATGCTTGGGTTAACTGTCAAGAGCAGAAGTTGGCAATGCCACACTGTGAAAAAGTTAGGCTGGTATTGTTACCATTCCAATCAAATAATACATCATCCCATCTGCAGCACAAGATGGCATTGTGCAGTTTGGCACTATGCAAACAAGCCTTATTTTTGCAAACTCTTCCCTTTTCATCTCACACACTTAGATTCAGTTAACTACTTCTTCTCTTACAGCTATATCAAAACTCAGTTTAAAACATTTAAGAAGATATTCTTCAAACACCCAAAGAAGCAGGTGCAGAAGTACAGGCACATTTGCAGATGGCTCCCTTATTAATATTATCCCCTCCTGTTTTGTGTGCTTTTATAGTTATTTTTACTTGTAATTGTTTTTTATGTATTCTTTTTCATTGTTGTATGCCCTCCAAAGTCATTTCTATGTGAGATGGGTGGCTGTATAAATAAGACAAATAGAACAGAACAGAACAAGACAGAACAGAACAGTTAAAAACATAATACAAAATGAGACAGCCCAGACTAGCAGGTGTCCCCTGAGCACATTAACCCCAGGCCTGGAAACAGACCCGGGCTTTAAGGGCTCTCTGGAACCCCAGGAGAGTGGGTGCTATCCATATCTTAGAGGGGATGCTGTTTCAAAGGACAGGGGCAGCAACAGGCATGCTTCCTTGGTCCAACAAGATAACAATGTTTAATAGAAGGGACCTGGAGCTGGTCTCCACCAACTAGCTAATATTCACATTTGACTTCTAATTAGGAGTGGATGAAAAATTGTACACCAATTGATTTTATCTGCACTTCCCAGGCCAAACAGGCTGGATCATTTTTTAGTTGACACACTTCTTTGAATTTTGCAGTGTTAGGCTCAAAATCTGCACAAGCATGGGTTATGCTCAAAAAAGCTGCATGTAAGTATAAATGTGAATAGTTCTATGGCCCTGGAAAACAAATTCAGAGATTTATTCTAAAACTGAATGGAACATATTTAGGATAAAATACATGCATAATTGACACAGAAAGAACATACATTATTTCTAGGTTGAATTATTATTATAAGTTAATAATTCTTAAATTTCTATTTCTAATACACTATATAAAATATAAGCCCCACCTTAATAAAGATCTCTGTCTTAATAGAGATTTGTGTGTTACAGTTTGTACTGGAATTCAGCTCTGATCAAATTTAAGTTTTCTATTTCAAAAGGGGAGGTGGGGGGCAGGAGGAAGTCATGGTGGCTTCTTAGTTCAAGTAGTTAAGACCACTCAATGCTTTTTTTTTTTTGCCTCCCTCCCCTGCCCACTCCATTTGGCTTCCTTTGAACATTAACATTTTCGTTAAAAAAGACAACTAGAGAACTTATTTTTCTCTGACATCTTTGATCATTTTAATAGTGGTATTACTCTAATGTGAGTCCTGGGTTGTTTTCTCCTCTGTAATGCACATCATTATTTGCTATTAGAAACAATCCAACACATGTACATATATACAGACACCACTCTTGCAAAACAAATTATGAACTGTACGAGAGGAAGAAGTCAGTTGAATTGAGCCTGCAAATACCAAGGAAGAAGAATACATAAACCCAGATTACATGTGAACCAGGCCAATTTCAGTCAAAAGGCTCTGTAGACATTTCTCAAATGTATGGTTTTGAATTCCTCAGTTCATTGGATACTAGAAATCCTTCCCTGCAAAAATGTACATAGTGTTTTTGTTCACAGATCCTATCCATAATCATCCTGTCAAATCAACTCCTTTGAAGCAGACATATAGTAAGCATTAGATGATTTCCTAAAGATGACAGTAATATGACACACTGTTTATGAATTTCCAAGACAACTGCTTGGAAAGATTCCAACCTTATATTTTTCACTAAAAATCAATTATTCATTCAGTCCACTGTGATTATGAGTATTCTCACCATTTTTGCTTTTGGAGTTTCTCTCCAAAAATATAAATGTGTTAGAATTGTCCATGTACCAAAAGGCAACAAAAGAGTGTTTCTAAACAGGTTTATCGAGAAAAGCCAAGCAGCTTGTTACTGTGAACTAGTAAAAGCAGAAACAAAAATTGTTGTGCCCAACACCCAGAAGAGGTTCTAAAAACAGCTCCTGTGAATCTATTTTAATCCTGCTCTCTGACACACTAACTAGGGTAATGGAGGAGGGTCACATAGAGAAATATTACTTAAGAGGCCAGGAGTTTGGGGAAGTGCATGTGATCGAGAGACAGAAGTAATACTACTCTTCCAAGTGGCTGACTCTGAAAAACAGTATTAAAGAATTCAAAAGTACCATTTCCTCTTGAGATATGCTTGATTTGTATTAACACTTCCTTCCTCATAGGATTTTCACCATATCAGAAAGCAGCACCAGGACTACTTTACAATGGGGAAAAAACTAGATTTAAAGCAGCTATGGCAATCAGTTCTAGGAATTGCTTGATCATGAATTTCTGAACTCTAAAGCCAATGAACAAATGATTTGGAAATCACCCGCAAGACTAAAACGTCCCGCTGTTTCGTTGCTTAGCTGTTTTCTGGACAGAAAAGTCTTACTACCGACAACATTTTTAATTAGCAAATGCAGTAAAAATCAGGCATAAAGATATTCCAATGAGTAACAGGGTCACTCATGACCTCTAGTACCTGGTACAGAATTTGTCACTTCAAATCTCATCTTAGAATCCAGGAGAGGAAGATGGGTGAATAGAATCACAAGATGGTTTCTGACCTGGCAGAATGGTCTGTTCTTCTAACAATTAGTCCTGGGTAAATGAATCCCCCATTAGATGGAGGAAAGGAGGGGGATTGACAAGGAGAGCACCAGCATGTGTCACTGAGCTGGTTTTCATTTTATTTTGCTTTAAATGTATGATTTTAGAATATTCTTGAAGTGCTATTAAAATGGTGAGCTTCAGTCAAAAACTAAACATCAGATTCACAATAATAATTACAGCTTTAAAGCAAACACAGGTTTGTAGACTGTATAGAAATAAAGAGAAAAAATGTGGAAATGTGTACACATCATTGAGAAGGCCAAAGCAAAACTAAGAGATGGCTTCTAGCCCTAATGCACCTCCAAGGTTAAATAACCAATTGCTTTTTCGATAATTCAGTAATAAAATAAGTGATCTCCCAATTAAGCAGGAGCATGACAGCCCTCTAAGATCAAAGGACAATTGTACCAAGGTAAGATAAAGACAATAGATAGTTAAGATATTAAATCAGCTTTCCTCAACTTGATGTTCACCAAATTTGTTGGAAATTATAGTAGTTGAAGTCCAAAGCATCTGAAGAATACCCAAGTTGGGTAAGATGTTGCTTCTCTAGAAGTCCTAGAACCTACAGATCAATTTTAGCAATAGCTCCCTAAAGAACAATTGCAAACTTTAATCACTTGATTTAAACAACACAAAGAAATGTTTAGGATGTCCACAGGAATGCATAAATACCTTTGTGACATTTCTTTCACACAGGCAGCAGCCTCCTAGAAATGTTGGAAGAAGTATCCCTATATATGAAAGATTTTACTGTATTTCCTATGGTAAACCCCTACAATGATCCAGAAGTGAAGAATCCACATTAGAAGCCAACTTCTGGATACTTACCTATCTTCTGGGAAGCTTCATTTGTAATTTAAATGCATGGCAGGTACCTACTCACTGGCAGAGTATAAAGCTACCAGCACATCACAAGTATGCTTGAGCAGTCACCAATAATACATAGGTAATTTCACTGGAACGTATCATCTTGATAATGCACTGTTACATATAATTAGATGAAATCTTTCCCCAGGGCAGAAGGATCCCCTCATCCTTCTACAATGCTTTGCTAAAATCTATTCATTTCACTGAAACAAATTGTTAAATGCCTATATCTGAAAATAAGCTTAAAGGGCAAGATTTTAAAGATGCCAATAAACTTGCTTCACATTAGTAATACCCTAGAACAAAGAGCCTTTCAAAAGTAATTGGTCAGAAATATTATTTTCCTTTTTTGACATAAACTAGCACCTGCAGCCTAATCCATACTACCTGAGATCACTCTGAAAGCTGAGCA